CCCCAAAACCCCAAAACCCCAAAACCCCAAAACCCCTAATTTTTTATAAAAAATTGAATAAAAAATTAGAAAATGATCCCCCTAAAAGCAAAAAGAAGAGTGAAGAATCTAACTGCTCAGGATAATGAAGGAAATCCGTTTAGTAGAAAAAAGCATTCAAGAATATCCCATACTATCAACAAGAGTAATTTGGTCAGTATAAATTGTGAGAGAAATCTTTCTAATGAAAATGATGCTATGCTTACACAGAGCAACAGGCAGACAGTTATGACAACTCTTAAGGGTATTTTAAAAAGAACATTTAAGAATAATCATATTGAAGATTTGAAGCTACACACACTAAATTATTCCCAGAAGAATTACTTAAATAAGATCATTGAAGAGAGAAAAAGCTTGATTCCATTCAAGATGCCACACAGAGATGAAGAGTCCCACCAAAGAGGTATTTTCCTATTTAAACAATCTAGAGATACAATATAAACAGGTCACCCAGAGTATGGCCGAGGCTGAACAGGAAAAGAGTCAGAAGTTAAACAAAACTGTAAACAAAGCCTCTAAGCTTCACTTGCCTGAACTGTCGACTAATGTAAATCCTCAGATCCGAGCTTTTGACAAGCGGTTTAACTCCGTAAAGGCGAGTAAATAACAAGAAAATCGCATTCTCAAGGCTACAAAAGGAGGATCTTTCTACAGAATCTCCCAAGAATGCTATAAAATTTACTAGCATCAAAGAGGCCCTCCCAGCTGCCTATATGAAGAAATAAATTAGATCTGAAGAAAACAGATGATGATGAGGAGAACAAACTCCATGTGAAAAAGGTTATTAAGATGAAAAATCCAAAACAGTGCTTCAACAGGACAAGACCATCGAATAGGATCTCAGGCGGGAAGAGTTTTAATATGGCTCTGAAGTCTCACCTGAAGGAGGAGAAGCCTTACCTAATCTCTGTGTCGCCATCTATGAAGAACTATGACAGGAGTGTGAAGAAGCAGATTCTTCGAAGGAAGTACTTCCTGAATACAAGAGATGAAGAATTCAAAATTGAAGAGCAGTATGAAAACAGAGCTGCAGTTCAGAGGGTCAAGTATAAGAATGTCTGGCACCCTGTCTTCTGTCAGTCAGCTACTCTGACCAACCTCAAAGGCTACAGCTACCTTATCGGTGGGGTCAACCACTCTGTGATAAAGCAAGTCTGCCGTATAACTGATACTGATCCTGAGTACCTATGGAAGGTTGAGAAAGATGATGAAGAAATCATTCTTCAGAGATATGGGCATACTTGTAATTTGTATAAAGACTCATTGGTGATCTTTGGAGGTCAAAGAGGATCAGGAAGCAAAAAGGTTAAAAGAATAGTGCTGAATGACCTTTGGATTTACCAACCACAATCAAGAAGATTAGAGCAAGTTCATACAATAAATTGTCCAGATCTCAGGTACGGCCACTGTGCATGCATTGCTGGTGATTACTTGGTAGTTTATGGAGGATGTAACGAGATGGGAGATGTCCTCTCAGACCTTGCAGTCCTAAATCTTATCACCAAAAAGTGGATTAATGTTGAAATTATTAATTCTAAATCCTCTCAAAATCCAAGAGGCATTTGTTTTTCAAGAATGGTGTCAATATTTTATAATGGAAGAAGGAAAAACCCTGAAAATGAGTTCTTCGCAAGTTATGAGCAGAACCAATACATTGACCCTTACTTACCGAAATCAAAGCGAGAGAAGCAGAAGGACAATGATATAATTCTTGAGGGTTGCTATATGTTTGGTGGTATCACTGATGACAATGACATTATCGGCCACCTTCACATCCTCAAGATACAAGAAGAAGGGAAGAAATTCGAATGGGAAAAGGTGGAAGAATACAATGGCAAGGCTCCTTGTGAAAGATCTCACCATTTTATGGAGTACTTTGCATTTAACAACTCTATACTGGTATTTGGAGGAAGAAATGATCATCAGCTAGGATCTTCTGTGCTGAATGATATGTACTTCTTACAAGTTGATACACTTACATGGATAAATGTTGATTTCGTCAACAAAAATCCTGCTTCAAGATTTTCCCATGCTTGAGGAATTCAAGGTTCAAAGTTAATCATTTTTGGAGGAGTCGGGAGTAATTTCGGAATGGAACAATCGGTTGAAATAATAGAATTTGATCCTGAGAAATTTTCAAAGTGTAATTTCACCAACATATTACACTAACCAGAAGAATGGTTGGTGGCTGAAAGCCCCTAAGGATGTCATCGATAGTTTTAAATAAATAGAATTCATAAGTACGATATTCTTGACCCTATTTCTTGCATAAGTTGTTTTATAAAGCAAGTCTCAATTTTTATTTTGATGATAGGGGTTTTGGGGTTTTGGGGTTTTGGGGTTTTGGGGTTTTGGGG